AGTAAAACAGTAAAATATGGCAAAAATGCAGTTTGGTCTTTCATCTTCAACTTGTTGTAAAATCTCCAAAACTCAACCAAATCGCTCAATTTTTTTTAGAATGAAGCTAGAACTGTCAGCTGTCAAATGACTTAGCAATAACATAGATGTGAATGACTCTAGTACTTCCAAAAATGAACTAGTGCCATCTGTCATAAACATGTGTCATGACTTTTCCGACAACCCAATAGATAACATCAGCAAGAGAATCACACAAGTCTTTCAAAGATGGGTCTTCCAGGTAAATCCAGGTGGAGGTATGGCCATCCAATTAATTCCAGCCGAGATCAGAATTTTCATAAAGATGTGGGCAGGGCTTTGCTAAAAAGCTACAGGTCTCTTCCCCAAACGGACTGATCTTAAAGCTCAGATGTTAACTGGACAAAGAATAAACTGCTGAGATACACTGGCCTCTGGCAGAAGAGCGAGACCGCTCTCAGCTCCCCACAAAGCACCAGGACTTACATGGTTAAGGTCAAGACCATTGTTGATCTTTTTCACCACAGCAGAGCTTTCAGAGTTTCAAAGCTATTTTATCTATGTGGCAAATCCTCTTTTAGGATGCTTCTATTTGGATTTTTTTTAAAAAACTCTTCAGTGTATCTCTAGGTAAAACAAACAGATGAATTGAATCTTCACTTTCAGAAGACCCCCCCACCACCCACTCCCCGACAGTCATGTCAACACAGGAACAGTGCTGGGCAAGTGCAGAGGCGGTGCCTGGTGAGCTGCTGTGAAGTCTTCCTTGACTCTTCTCACTGTTGGACTGATAAACACTCATTATCAGGACTGGGGGGATCCCAGTACAAGAGGTGGTAATGCCCACTGTGGTAGGCAGACTCTCAGATGGCCTCTAGGGGTCCTACTCCTTGTGGACAAGGTCGTGTATAAGCCTCTCACCCTGAGTATGGGCAGAGCCCATGAATACAATAGGACAGAGCTCATAGGATTAAGTTGTTAATCAGCTGGCTCTCAGTTAATCATATAGAGATTATCCATATGGGCCTGACCTAATCAGGGGAGTTCTTAGGAAGGATTGGCCTGTTCATGAAGTTAGAGAGACACAAAGTGTGAGGTTAAATCTTCTACTGGACTTGACAGAGTAGATTGCTGTGGTGTGGAGGGCCTCGTGGGGGCGGTCTGTGGGCAGCCTTTAGGAGCTGAGAATAGACCCTGGGAAAGTGGCCCATATGAGGCCACCAATAGGTGTTCCCCTTTTCTTTCATTCAAATACTTCAAATTTACACTTGAGTATAATATTGGCCATTTTTATCTGTTTTTGGCCATTTGGTTTGGATCATGAATATGGATTCCTATGTGTATTCAGAAATGTCAAAGTCTGACGCCATATGTTCTTAGGAAAAGCTGGCACACTTGTGATCTGGTTTATCTCCATTTCGTTTTAGCTTCCCCCACAGAGCTCACGCCCGCACATCCTGTGGCTGCCAGTTCTTTTGCTGGACGGGCATGCTTGTCACGCACCCCTCTGCCCTGGAGCAGGGAGGCTGGTGAACAGAGCAAGTCCAAACTGCTGAAGCCATCTGTCTTCTGCTGGAGGAGGCAGTTCAGCCATACATTGTAGCTAATGTCATAACCGATTTACAGAGCTAGGGTGGGTCTGACTCAGGCCCAGTGACCAACTGGACTCGTGTACTAATCTAAACCTCCATTAGATGTCATCACGCTTTGTTATCTGCAGGCTATCATTTAAGGTAACTGGAATAGAAGATCGAGAACACAAAGGGCAGAAAGGGAGGACCAAAATTTTATGTGTGCTGGGATGTGTGCGTGAGTTTAAGGAAATCTGTTTTATTGTGTTGGAACATTGGTCTGTTCAGCCTACTTCATGCTAATAAACAATTGAACCTCCATTGCCGTGTTTTGCTATGGAGCAGTTATGGAGAGTGATGTCATTTATCAACCTGTCAAGTTTAATTTATAGCACACATTCGGGGAGTCTTGAAAGCAGTTATCATCTCCTGACATGATATTATGTATATTGGTAACTCTTTACTTATTTGCTTATTATCTGCCTTCCCTCCACAGAGGTAAGTTCCAGAAAGTCAGGGGTGCTGTTTGATTTGGTTGACCACTGTATCCCCAGTGCCTAGGTCAGTGTTTTTGGCACGTGGCAGGTAGGTATTCATTAGATATTTGCCGAATGGGAGACCTGATGCTGTATGGAGACAATATTGAATAGTAATAGCTCGGAGCAGGAGTTGGCAAACTAAGGTCTGAAGGCCAAATCCAGCCTCCCCCCTGTTTTCGTAAATAAAGTTTTATTGGAACACAGCTATGTTCATTCGTTTACAGACTGTCCATGGCTGCTTTTGCACTCAAGCAGTTTCAACAGACACCAAGTGGTCCATGAAACCTACAATCTCTACTGTCTGGTCATTTATAGCCCTGGCTGACCTGGGTTTCTTTTCTGGCCCCTTAACTGTGAGAGTGAGTGATTTAAGCTAAGATTTTGTTTCCCGTCTGAAGATTCCTATCTCAGTGAATGGTCCGTGTTCACTAGGGTGAGCATCAGGTAAATGGTCAGGGAACATGAGCTCCTGAAGGCGCTTGTGGGCCAGGCATTCCATCTATTGTCAGCACTTTTATCTGCGGTGCACTGTGCGAAGTCCTGGCCAAATGGAAGTGACCGAGCCTGGCCCTGTGCCATGTGGTGACTGGGCAGTACCTGTAATTTGTTTCCACCCTCTGTCTTCTCTGATGCCACTGCCATTGAGTTATTCCTTCTGTGCATATGCTAATTTTTAAATATAGTGTTTAGAAATATTGGTTGTTTTATTATCATAGCATGTATTAAAACTGCACCTTCAGGAGTCAGAATATGATTAAATTTTTAGGTTCTACTTCATTTAAATTAAAAAGGGAAAAAAAACATATGCTAATTTCTACTTAGAGATGCACTTTCATAAATACATTAAAGGGGACCAAAATAATAAAGCAATAAAAATACCATCTACAAGTGGATAACTGCCATAAACTAATGAAAAGTTGCATCTATTTATCATAAAAATAATAACTCGTGAACGTGTAGAAAATACAAAGGAGGATAATGAAAATAGTTACAAATTACATATATATTCCCACTATCCAGAGAGAAACTTGGCTTCAAATGAATTTTTCTCATTGAAAGAATTAAGATGTTAAAATAATTTTTTATTGCCACCTTTTTAATTGAATCTTATAAATATTGTCCCAAGACATAAAAACATTTTAAACATAGCCTTTTATTTATTTACACATTTTATATTTTGAGAAATGTCAGCCCTTCAGAAAAATGCAAGAATTGTACAATGAATACCTGTATGACCTTTACCTGGAACAACCAATTATTTCTGTTTTGCCATATTAGTTTTATCTCTGTAGTTTCATCTTGGTGTGTCCTAAGTATGATTTTTAATGGCTGCACATATTTAATCTTGTGTCCATATCATAACTACCCATTCTCTTATTGTGGATATCTAGCGTCTCTTACCATTTTTTCCACATTTTAAACTTAGTTTAGTGAGCATATATATGGGGTAGATATTACAAAAGAAAGGATTAAAGCTTAGAGAATTTAAGTAATTTGCCAAAGGTCAAATTAGCTAGATTTCTGGTTCTGAACTCACCACCCACTGGCACTGAGAACTTGAACTCCAACAACGTGAAGAACATGCTGTTTGGATCGTTTTATAACTGCACAATTTTTACACACTTGTATGTGACAAAAATGTAGGTCTAATTTATTTTATTAAATTAATATTTTATTTTTACAAAGGCTATCTCACTTGTTTTCATAATAAAATGCATATTCATTGAAGAAAATTTGTTAAATTGAGAGACATAAAAAGAGAGAACAAAAACATACATTGCACCAGTCTGAAACTTTTTTGATAAAACTTTTTCTTCATTTAGTTTTCCCATCTTTAAAGATAAACCACATGTTGTATCTTTTTTATTGAACTATTAACAGTGGATATTTTCCTATATATGAATAAACCTTTGACAATCAGTTTTTCAAAGATTAAATAGTATTTCATCTTATAAAAAACATAGATTTATTGTCAAAAGAATATTCTGTGATTGTAAACATAGCCATAGTGAACAGTTTAGGACATTAATCTGTGTGCATAACACTAGTTCTTTCTAAATGCAAGTATTTCAAACATACAGAAAAGTATAGTTATTAATATAACAAACACCAAAATATCAACTCTGCAGTTATTTATAGGTATCTGCTAGCTTCCCTAATGGGATGGGAACTCCCTTTACAGATAAATGGTTAGAAAGAAATAATTGTTTACCATCTGAGAGGTTTCTATCTTAGTATCCCCTAGTCTATATCACGTGGAAGTTAGATTTGCCAGTTTGTGGGAATGTAGTTCAAGCTTTCTCAGCTCTATTGTATTTATGCCATCCTTTTCTTTGATTCCTTGGGGGAGCATTATTTAAAATAACTTTCCTTGGTGATGGGTTCACGAGCTGTCACAGCTGCAGACACAGCTGTGGTTCTTAAATTTTATCTACAAACATCATTTACACTTCCTTGAACACAGTTGGATATGTTCTTTCTGGTCAATAGCATTATTACGCAACCATTTACTTGAGAAAAAAAAAATATATATACACACACACACCAACTGGTGAAATCATTATGAATTATTGGGCATAATTTCTATCGTCTTGTGCTATTTTGAGGGTTGTGTATTACTTTTATTGCCACTAATTTCAACAAGGGAAGGAGTATGAATTATAATGGTAGAACATTGTTAGCTTATTCTTAGGTTCCACTGTATTTTTTTTTTTGAACTAAGTTAGGTCCTTTAATTTGTAGTTTACATTCCAATGCTGACCTTGTTTATTATGTTGACTATTTGAACTTTTGTATAAAATACTATAGAAAGAAATGAAGAGTGCAACCCCCCCCACACACACACCAAAAAATACCATCTTATCCCTTTGCCAAAGACAATTGAGTCAAAAGAACTCAAAGAAACAACTGAATTAATATAGTTTCCCCTTTTATCCAGTAATGGAAAGATTTACTAACCCTTGCCATACATTAGATTAGCTTATGCAATATTTTATTTTTCCCCCCTATTGCTCATCATTATTGCTTTTGATTTAGTTTCTTGTTTCCTTTAACTTAGTCTTTGATTTCATGTCTTAATTATTTAGGTTAGATGTGCACTGCCCTGCTTAATATACAATGGTTGTGACATTCAGAAAAAAGAGACAGATGGAGGAGTTTCAGTAGGATTTTAGCAACTATGTCCAAATATTATTTATATATACACTTTTCCAAGCTTAGATCTAGCGTGCCCCAGAAAAAAAATAGGCAAAATTCTCTTCAAAGATCAAAAACAACTATCAGTGGGTGAAAACCTTTACAATGTTGCCTCCAATCCTTTCTCTTTGAGTTACGTATAAAGAATTCTATAGCTCAGACTGTGGTGTTTGTACATTTCAGGCTGATTAGCGAGATGGGAGCAGCATGCTTTGGCACTTCCCTTGCTTGCTTGCCCTCTGGAAGAGAGCCATGTGCACTCCTGAGCTGGGGGGCTGATGGATGGGTATCTCCCTCCATGATTGTCCACCCTAAGATCCTGGGGGACTGGGGGCTGCTTAGTAGTTATCTCACTTTACAGAAGAAATCCAAGGTGAAGGAAGGACTTTTCTAGGGGCTGCATTTAGTACATTATCACGCTAGAGCAAATACTGATCTTCTGACCCTTACATCTAAAACTTAATGTTGGTTCTCTGTTTATTCCATGGTTGTCTTCCCCTTAGGGTGACATTTCTCACAATGATAAGAATTCTGGAGCCTAGCTTTGGGTAATTCCATCCTGACAGGGTCTCATAGTAATGCTACTGAAGGCTTTTGATTTTCTTTTCTTGCAGGATTCATACCTGTCTGCAGCCTTGGGGTGGCTCAAGTGGGCAGGCTGAACTTCGGAAAGGATGTGAGCACCTTGAAATATTTCACCATCTGTGGCTTACAGGAGGGCTATGAACCATTCGCTGTCAATACAAACAGGGACATTACCATGTGGCTAAGCAAGCGGCTTCCTCAGTTTCTCCAAGTTCCATCCAACCATGAACATATTGAGGTGTGCTTTTTCTTTAAATATCAGACCATTGCCAGAAACCAGGAGTGGAATATCTTTACACACGGGAGTTCTACTTTGACAATTATCGTCACTTACTTAAAATGGCTGCCCTGATGTGTTACGTAGTCATGGGATCTAAGCATAGGATCAGCCTCCAATTTTAAATACTTCATGAGGAGCTGATTAGACTGATTAATCATTATTGATTCTCTTTTTATATAGGCAGTGGCAATCTCAGTCTGAATATACTGGGGATGCCAAAAATATGTATACACATGACCTGTATTCATCTTTTGTTATCAGTATATATTGAGTATTGCAATTGTAATAGTTTTTTTCCTTAAAACGTGTATACATGTTTTTGGCACCCTCTGTGTATATAATAATTAGAGCATGAATTTCTCAAACTTCTTCTGAGTTCGAAGCAGAGCTATGACTATATCTGTAACTCGGTACTCCCTCTGTTCAGATAACTCATTTACAAAATTGTGCCACGTGTGGCCATGTCTGGGGTTTTAAAGCCGTGATGCCCATTAGTGATCTTCAGGACCAGAGAATGGACAGTGAGGATTAGAGTTGAACTGTTGCTTCTTTGTTTTCCAGGTGACCAGAATCGATGGCACCGTAGACACATGCCCGTGTTTGAAGGTCACTCAGAAGTCCTTTGGGTCTCAGAACAGCAGCACAGATATAATGTTCTACCGCCTGAGCATGCCGATCGAGTGTGCAGAGGTCTTCTCCAAGACGGCGGCCGGAGGGCTGCCCGCCGCCAGCCTCTTCGGGCCCAAGAACGACTTGGAGGATTACGAAGCAGATTCGGACTTTGAGGTTCTGATGAAGACAGCTCATGGCCACCTGGTGTCTGATCGACCAGACAAAGACAAAGAAGCTATGAAACCAGAGTTTAATAATCATAAAGATTATGCTCAGGAAAAGCCCTCTCGTCTGAAGCAAAGGTCACTGAGTTATGATTTTGAATATGTGGCAGTTATGTGGGGAAGATTGCAGTAGGGGGAAGGGATTTCCCAATGGCAATTTTTTCTTTCTCTTCATCCTTCTTTATGCACAAAGGACTCTACAGGGGATGATAAAGCAACCTGTTTGTCATCTAATTGGTTACCACATAATCTATCCCAATAGATACTTTTTAAGCAATTTTTTTGTGTGGTAAAAATCACATAACATAAAATTTACTGTCTTCACCACTTCTAAGTTTACTTAAATTTCAAAGTATACAGCACAGTGATGTTTATTGCAGTGACAAGTGTGTTCACACTGTTGTGCACCCATCTTCAGAAATTTTTCATCTTGCAAAAGTGAAACTCTGTACCCACTTAAACATCTCTTCTTTGCACCTCCCCCACAGCCTCAGGTAACCACCGTTCCACTTTTTGTTTCTATGAATTTGACTTCTCTAGTATCCCTTGTAAGTGGAATCATACAGTATCTGTCTTTTTGTGACTGACTTACATCGTTTAGCTTAATGTCCTCAGGGTTTATCCATCTAGTAGCTTGTGTCAGAATGTCCTTCCTTTTTAAGGCTGAATAACATTCTATTATGTGTATAGACCACAGTTTGTTTATTTACACATTTGTTGATGGATGTTTGGGTTGATTCCACCTCTTGGTTATTGTGAATAGTGCTATTATGAACATGGGTGTACAAATACCTTTTCGAGACCCAACTTTCAGTAATTTTGAATATATACCCAGAAATGGGATTGCTGGTGGTTCTATTCTTAAGTTTTTGAGGACCTTTCATATTGTTTTCCACAGTGGTTGCACCATTTTATAATCTCACCATCACTCTAGAAGGGTTCAAATTTCTTCACATCCTTGTCAACCCTTGTTACTTTCTGTTGTTTTTATAGCAGCCATCCTAACACGTGTGAAGTGATATTACATAGTGGTTTTGATTTGTATTTCCCTCATAATTAGTGACAGTGAGCATCTTTTCATATGCTTAGCAGTCATTGGTTGATCATCTTTCGAGAAATGCCTTTTCAAATTCTTTTAGGATTGGGTTATTTGCTTTTTTTTGTTGTTGAGTTGTAGGAGTGCTTTATATAGTCTGGATATCAATCCCTTATCAGATATGTGCTTTGCAAGTATTTTCCCCAAGAGTTAGTTTTTAAGATGTCTATGTTTACATTCTTGGTTGAAAATTAAACAGTATTCTCTCTAAATAGTATTTTTATGGACAAAAAGAAAACTTATTTGAGCATTCTCTCTCTGGCACTAAATCTGAATTTCTCAACCTCAGCATGGTTGACACTCTGGGCAAGATAATTATTTGTTGTGAGAGTCTGCCCTGCGCATTGAAAGACATTTAACAGATGCCAGTGGGAACCCCGCCCCCAGCTGTGACCACCAAAAATGTCCCCAGATATTGCCAGACGTCCCCTGGGGAGTAAAATCACGCTGGTTGAAAACCATTCTGCTAAGCTCATTGTATGCTCGTGTTTGAAGTAGGCAGGACTAGTATGTTGCTTATTCCTGGTCCTGTAATATATTTCAGATTTTTGCTTAGAAGAACAAAGCCAGATTACAGCGCGAGCCATTCTGCAAGACTCACTGAAGACGTCCTTGCAGATGACCGGGATGACTACGACTACCTGATGCAAACGTCCACGGTATGAGGTCGCAGCTCTTGTCACTGTGTTCTCCTTGTCATTTGTTATGTTTTATGTTGCAAATAGTTCACTTTGATTCATCATATTTAGCAAGCTCATTTTAAAAATAATTATTCGCTTAAATTTGGGGGAGTGGAAAGTTGAAAAATATATGTATACTCTGATGCATATTATGAAATGAAGAGCTATTTTAGCAAAAAAGTCCTTAGTGGCATCCTTAATCCTGATTTTGATATCATGTTTCTTGGCAAAATAGAATTTGTGACTTAATTTTTCCAAGTACATAGAATTTCCTTCATCTTAGTGATATGTCTGAAAGAAGATCATTTATCATCCTTTGTTAGAGGTAAAGTTTCACTGTCTGCCTTTTAAAAATTTCAAAACAACTCTTCCTAAAATGCCAAATGGGTAAAAATAATTCACAGTTGTGTTCCTTCTAGAGTACCCCCATGTTTGACCTTGATTTCCACTTATTAGATCTGAGCTATTTCCAAGTGATTAAGGTATAAAAATGTTACATATTAGTGATAGGGAAGACAAAGCATATTCAAAAGTGGGTGACAGGTGTAAAACTCCAGCATTGATTAGCACACTGTGTAAACTGGAAGAATTTGAAGCTTAACTACTTAATGGTTGATAATTTTATTAATAAATATACTACATATTACATGTACATATGGTATGTGTGTCATGTGGGTACACACAACATACATACATACACACTTGGGAGTATAAAAAGCCTCAAATCATTTAGCATGTTTGCTCAGATAGAGTCTTTTCTCTTTTCCCCATTATTTTTTATTTAATTCAGGATCTCTGTGTTAAGACTTTTCTTATTTTGCAGCGTCAGCCCTTGGTGCCCATACCATTTTAATCAGGCCCAATGATTTTAAACAAAGAAATACATTCTTCCACAATTCAGAGACATTGCAAATCAAAGGTTTTTTTTTTTTTTTTTTTTACTTTGCCAATGCCTGGTTTTGCTGTCTCAACAGTACTATTACTCAGTGAGAATCTTTCCTGGACAAGAACCTGCTAACGTCTGGGTGGGCTGGATCACCTCCGACTTCCACCAATATGACACAGGCTTTGACCTGGACAGAGTTCGTACAGTCACCGTCACTCTAGGAGATGAAAAAGGAAAAGTGCATGAAAGGTTGGTTTTCCTCAATTGTTTACACGAATGACATCTGATGAAAATGTTGATAAACCTAGGGATTTTTGTCTTGGATTTCATGTCCATGATAATGTTTCTATTTATAGGAACAATGTAATTAAATCCTCAATGTCAGTGTCCTTTTCATAGCTTATACAAGTTAGTAAGGAATCTGAATATATTATAAGTAAGAGCAGTGCAATATTTTTGGGTAATAATCATATAGTCATTCAGGTGACATTGTACATGACTACCCACTTGGGTGACCAATGTTCAGCCTCCATGTGAGGGAACAGGATGGGTGAATATGAGTGAGTTAGCAGATGGTCTGATACACATCTTGGGAGCTGGTTATGTGGTGGGGAGACAATGTGAAGACATGATGGGCTAGTGGTTTAGACCAGGTGGACGCCTTTGAACTTGGACTGAGGAGCAGTGGGTTCTTTCCTCAGCTTGGCCATTGACTCGCTGTGTGGCTTTGGGTAAGTCAGTTACACTTTCTGTGCCATCCTTTTCCATTTGTAAAACAAACCAAGCTCAAACCAAACCTTCAAAAAAGTGAAGAAGGCCATCTTCCTTGCAGCATTAGACAAGAGAAGATCTGACCATTTGCATCTGCCTTTTGTGCCCATGCATCCTCTCTGATCTGCTGTGACAGGTCTTGTAGATGTAGTCCTCCTCCATATGTTGCTTTTCTTTTATACCTGCACCTCATTTTTGGTGACTGGAAGCTCACTCTCCTGCCTCAGATTTTAAGCACTTGACATACTTGAAGGTGGCCCTTGAGACAGTGGGCTGGCAAAAAGCTCCAATGAAAAATGCTTCATGTCAATGTGGGGGCCCCAAACCACCTGTTTCTAGGATACATTCTTGGGGTATATATTTGATTTTCAGAGAAGGTGACAATGTACAGAAATAACTCAGTATAGGGATGGACTATGTGATAGATGATTTTTGATTTAGGAATGGCGTCTAGGGAAGGGTTGTTGAATTGTACATAAGTGGTGCAAAGAAACAACCAATTTTGATTATTCAGAAACTGATTGTATCTCGCCTTGTTCTTTGCCTGATGTTGACCTTTCTTTTGCTGGTCTCAATATATTTGCTGTCGAGTGGCAGAGAAAGTGCAAATAGATTAAGCTTTGTTACCATCTCTAGTGAAGGTTTTGGTGAGGGTGAAACTGAGGTGGGGTTTTGTTGTTCAGACCACTGGTTTTGTGCATATTCCAGCTGAGTCTGTCTCAGAACAGATCACCGGGAATTGTCCACAAAGGGGCATGGTTTTAGCTAACTTTTTAATACAGTAATACCTTGGTTTGAGAGCATAATTTGTTCCAGAAACAAACTACTCGTATTGTGAGACATTGCTCATTTACCAAATTAAACTATATTAGAAATGTTTGCTTGAGGAAGACTTGCAAACCAAGTTACTCGCAATCCAAGGTTTTACTGTACATTGAATCACTGATGGCTCATGTAGAATTTGCCTACGGACTTTGATAATTTTTGGAAATTAATGCTTCTCAACTCAGAACAAGTGGTTTTTTTAAAAAAAACTTATGAGAAGGAAAATTACAAATTTGGATGATTATTAAATAGTTAAACTTTTTTGAACCTCAGAAAAGGGTCCAGTTTGGTTTGAGTTTTTGGAGGAAAGGTGCAGGTCAGTTCTTACTTGGTTCCAACTTCTTGACCGGCGTCCCTTAGGTGTGAATTTAGGGACATGTAAGACCTGATTCAGACTGTCCACTGAAGTCAGTGAAGTTTTGCTCAGAGTCACAGACTCGGGCCCAGGTGCACCTCTCCCATCACGGCATGAGCTTGTTGCTTGCGCAGCATAATTTAGGTGTAGTTTGCAAGATATCCATGCTCCCCATTGCATCTGTGGTTGTACAAAGATGAAAATATATTTTTTGAAATTTAGCATCAAACGCAGCAACTGCTATATGGTGTGTGCGGGTGAGAGCATGAGCCCTGGGCAAGGACGCAACAACAACGGGCTGGAGATCGGCTGTGTGGTGGATGCCGCCGGTGGGCTGCTCACGTTCACGGCCAACGGAAAGGAGCTTAGCACTTACTATCAGGTACTGGTCAGCGGGGCGGCTGCTCCAGGGGAGGGAAAACTTTCTACCCATTGGAGGAAAACACATTCTATTAAGGACAAAAAGTAAACTAGAAAACGATGGAAACAGAAGCGGGTTAATTATGTATTGTCACTTCTGTTGGAATACTAATAGTGCCATACGCCCTTCAGAATAAACAGTACATTCCTCCAAAAATGGTCACATGGTAAGGACATGAAATGCTTCCGATAATTATTGAGAGACAGTATCCATGTGAGAAAAAGGAAGTCTCTGGTCCCCTTCCGTAAAGCGTTTCTTAGTTGTTGTGAAGGAAATATGTTTTGTTTTTGCCCCTTCCTTTAACTAATAGTGTTAAATTTATTGGTTTCTCTAAGGTGGAGCCAAGTACCAAATTATTTCCTGCAGTTTTTGCACAAGCTACGAGTCCCAATGTTTTTCAGTTTGAGTTGGGAAGAATAAAGGTAAGAAAGACTCATTTTTGGCATTATTCTTGGGTTGTTTTCTATTAGGGGGAATCACATTTATTTTTTCTTAAATGAATTCAATATTTTATTATTACTGCTATTAATCATATCAATTATTTTTTGAAAGATAGGATGTTTGAAATTTCTATAATCTCTTTCACATCACTAGGAAAACATAATTAATTAGAAAAGGTTTGGCTTTACTCATCATACATATAATTGTCAGTAAAACTAGGCTTATATGTTGGTGGTAATGTGGAGAAAGACCAGCTCTCATGAGAATGACAGCAGGTGGTGACAAATCAGTATGAACAACTTGAGGCTGTCCAGGCGGGAAGAGGTGAGGAGAGCCATGAAGCCCATAATGGCGAGACAGTGATAAATCAGAAGGTGTTTCAAAGGACAAATTAATAGAATTTGTGAGTGAATTGGATTAATGAGATTTGCTGATGAATTGTGTTCAGGTCCTCAAGGAGAATGAAGAATCAAGGATGAATTTAAATTTTTTAGTGTGGACGATGGGGGGATGCTGATAGAACCACAAGCAAAATAGCTAGTTGTAGTTCAGGAAAAGGAACCGGACACCTTTTGCAGTTGTAAATGTTGCGATGCCAGGAACACATCGGGGTGAATAGAGTAGACGGTGCTACTAGGCTGGCTTGGCGACCTTGGACATGTGCTTAAACCACGTGAGCTCAGTTTCTGCCTTTGTAAATGAGGTTCCCAGCTGCCACAGAAAGGCCAATGCAATACGGAATGAAGGAACCCACTACATTTGTTCATCAAGAGGGCTTTAGGGACTTTGCCAGAAGAATTTCTACAAAATGATGGAAAAAAGAAATCTATATTCTGGTGAATTCAAGATCGAAAGTGTAAGAAAAGAGGTAGCAAGTTTGGAGGGGTTTTTTTTTCTTTTTTTTTTTTTTCTTAATTTGACAAAAGTGGTAGTCTCTCAGAACTCTCACTTGTATATTGGTCCATTTGACATCTCCATTTGGGTGTTTTTTAGGTATGGCCAATTTAATGTGTTTAAAACAGGACTGCTGACTGCCATTGGCCCCTCTTCCTCATGGTGGAGTCTCATGTCATTTAATAGCAGATCCAGCTGCTCAGGCCCAGGACCTTGAGTTGCCCTTGACTTCCTTCCTTTGCATTCTGCATCCTGGTTCCATCTGCTAGCAAATCCTCCGCCTTCTGACTGCCCCCATCACGCCTGCTGGTCGCTACGCTACCCCCATCACCATCCTGTCTCATCTGGGCTACCTGAGTGGCCTCCTAATGGGGTTTCCATAATTCATCCTTGCCCTTCTGTTTATCATTCAACAATCTGAGTGATTGTCACTGCTTTCAAGTATAAATCAGATCATGCCATTCCACTGCTCAAAAGCCTCGTGACCCTGTTTCCCTGAAAGTGAAAAATCAGGGTCTCATATCAGTTATTATCGGATCCTAAAGAATCTGACATCCTCACCCTCTGACTCCATCTCCCACTGCCCTCCCCTCCTTCACTCCACACCAGCCACGCCGGCCTCCAGGTCCTTCTGAAACGCAGCAGACAAACTTCCTCCTCAAGTCCTGGGCACTAACTGTTCCCTTGGGTGGAAATGTCCTCCCCTGCTTCTGTGTGTGGTTCTTCTCCTCTTCTTAACTGTCACCTTCTCAGCGATACCCATTCTGACCACCCTATTTATTATTGCTGCCCTGCTTTCTGGTTCCCCCTTCCTGTTTTTTGGTTCCCCTGCGACCTCTTTTCCGACATAATATTTCATTTTCTTACCGATTATTAAGTCTCCAATTAGAAAAGAGAAAATGGAAGCTGTACGAGGCCATTTTGTCTGTTTTGTTCTCAACCCTTAAAATGGTGCCTGGGTCCCCTCATCCCCACCCCCATTCACAGAAGAGCAGAGGGAGGCAGCGTGAGGCTGAGGCCATCGAAGAACGCAGGGAGAAGCTCCAGAGGACAGGGCCAGACTCAAGGGCATGGTTTTTATACTACTGTTCAGAATGGGCAGGTGGGGATGGTATCATGATCATAAATGGTTGAATAAGCTTTGCCAAAGTAGAGACCCCTCTCTCGGTGAGACCAGACTGAAGGAATTACGATGGCCGAAGATATTTATTGGTGGCAGAGGAAGGCGGGCGAGAAATAAATTGTGTTAGTTAATGCCTGGTTAATTCTGTGGTCTTGCTTGGTAGTCAGGTTTATCTGTTGAGCTGTCTCTGGTGTATCACTGGTTACTAAACACCTGACAAATGTGACAGTGAGTGAGTGCATGGCTTAAGGATGAGGTGGGTGACCTGGGGGGGGGGGGGGGAGGAAGACAAAGAGAGAGAGAGAAAACTGGATATGGTCTTTCTTTCAGGAAGTAGCTACAGACTTTCCAGGTATCTCTGAGGCCCCGCTTGGTAAATAAATGTGAAGGGTATGTGGTTATACTTGGTTGCACTTTATTCTCGGTGGGCCAGAGAGCATGTGGGAAACAAACAGCCCTGCACCTGGGCCTGCCCTGAACTTCTAGGAATTTTCTCTTAGAATATTTCCTCCCCTGGTCCTCTCAAGGGGCTCTCGAATTCAATTTCTGTTCTTTCCTGTATTGACTTCGCTCGACCTGTGATGTATCTCTCACTTCCCCCATCTCTGTCCCGTTCAGAATTCTGCTCCTTGTGACTTGCAGGGAGTCTTACAAATGACTTCTTCTGCTTCTCCATTCCCCCAGAACGTGATGCCTCTTTCGGCGGGATTATTCAAGAGCGAGCACAGAAACCCAGTGCCTCAGTGCCCTCCGCGTCTCCACGTGCAGTTCCTGTCACACGTGCTGTGGAGCAGGATGCCCAACCAGTTCCTGAAGGTGGACGTGTCCCGGGTCAGCGAGCGCCAGGGCTGGCTGGTGCAGTGCGTGGAGCCCCTGCAGTTCATGTCGCTGCACATCCCGGAGGAGAACAGGTCTGCGCACGCGCCTGCACAACACCTCAAAGGAGACTGCTCTCCAGGGGCTCAGGGGTGGGGTGGGGACCCAAAGTGAGGTTTTAAAAAATACCTCATTTCTTACAGTAGCAGAGGCATCACTTTGCATATTCCAAGTTTAAATCTATTTCTTCACCACTTTGTTCCTGAAACAAAATTATTATACTTAGGTTGAGGAGGCGATATGATAGTGCGTTCTTTCGGTTCTCTTGTGTTCTGTATGATGAGAGCAAGTAAAAACTTAGGCAGGTACCCCTGCAGCTTAGCAGAGTAATACAGTATCACAGGCTTGCAACAGGTTAGAGATTGGGTCATAGGAATCGCCTAGTGCTGCCCTTCATTTGAAAGAAGTGAGAAACCAAGGCTATGAGACATTAATGAAAGACGATTGTGAAAATAAGTTGAGGGCTTTGGAATCAAGCTGACCTGCACTCTAGACAGTAATAGTAGCAACATTACTACAGCCATTACCCAAAGGTGGCTTTATGAGTTTCAGTTTTTCCACGGCATAACCAACTAGAGTGCAGAGATTTCATTTTAGTGGCCTGGGTATCAAAAAGGAGCTAATTTTGGAGCAACGTTTCCCTCCCAAAATATAATTAAAAATTTCAGTCACAAATTGAGTGAAAACACTGCAGAAAAACAAAGCAAAAACAAATAAATTTGCTGTCCTTCTTGTATTTTAAGTCTTTAATCTTAAAACGGTTGCAGGAGCTATGTCCATTTTTATGTATCTAGACATGCTTGGCATTTAAAAAATTTTAGTATCTTTAAAATTTAATGTGTGCCTTGGAAAACAGTTTGTCAGTTCCTCAAAAAGTTAAACATAGAGTTGCCATAGGACCCATCAGTTCCACTCCTAGGTGTGTACCCAAGAGAAATGAAAACATTCCCACACAAAAGCCTGTACACAAATGTTCATAGCAGCATTATTCACAGCAGCCAAAAAGTGAAACAACCCAAATGTCTACCAACCGATGCATGGAAAAATAAAGCATGGCCTATCCACATAATGTTATTTGGCAATTAAAAGGAATGAAGTACTGATACATGTATAGAATGGATGACCCTTAAAAACATTATATTATGTTTAAGAGGCCATTCACAAAGACCATCTATTATAGGATACCATTTACATGAGAAGTTCATAGTAGGCAAATCTTTAGAGACAGCAAGTAGATTGATAGTTACTTAGAGCTGGTGGGCCTGAGGAGTGACTGCTAATGGGTACTGGGTTTCTTTTAGGGTGATGAAAATGTTCTGAATTTAGATTATGGATCTGGTTGCACAGATCCATTAATAGGATAGTGACAAAGCTTAACGATAAATAATTACCAATAATTATTTAGCAACTACTGTGTACTAGGCTGGTTGCCGGGTAACTTAATAAACACATATATAATAACCCCTTTTCTGATGAGCTTATAGTCCAGTTTCACCAAGGACTCCTTTCTAGATGAATGAGATTTCCTTAATTATGAATATAACACTTTTCTACTTTTAATGCTACAGTGTCACCGATGAGCAATCTATATAATTTGTAATAAATTGTTCAGAAAAATTGCACATGTAAAGAAATTTGATACAAAGAATGTGCTCTTAAAATGGACTCTATTCTTAAAGGAAAGGCTTTACTTTAGGCACATTCTGGCCATTTTTAAGGTTTTATTTGATGAAAGGCCATGATATGTAGCAGAAGCAAAATGGCCCAAACTAGGTAGCAGTCTGGTAGAAACTCAGATTCCCAGCAGAAAATTTATGAAGTGACAATGTCACTATAGTGTGTGCTTCGTGAGTTGCACTTACCTAGTGGAAACCAAGGTGACACAGGCTCACGTGAGGGAGAAATGAGCTCTCTGTTACCTACTTCTAACGGATTAGGCGGATACCTAGTCACAGGTCAGAGACAGGGGCGCAGACTCCTGAACCTACGACAGTTTTCCGGCTTCTCGAACCTAGTTGGCCAAGGTGGAAAGGAGTCAGGATTTTCCAAGGAGTGCTCGCATTCAGAAAGGAGAGTCCCCTACTTCAGACTGAGACGGAAGTATCTGAAAGAGGTGCCCAGAACCTAGGCTGAAGGGCGTGATTGGGGTCCAAGCATGAGTGGTGGAAATTGTCAACATAAAATTCTATCCAGAAGAAAATTTATAAAACATCTGGACCTGATTTTTAAACAATCTATGCTACCATTAAACATGTCATGGAAAGGACACATGAAAAGGAAGATAGTGTCTGTTTGCATGAGCTTTTGATTTCCCCTGTGCTTGTGGACTTCTAACTGCCCTGGCACTGACCCGCCTGCAGGTCTGTGGACATCCTGGAGCTGACGGAGCAGGAGGAGCTGCTGCAGTTCCACTACCACACCCTCCGGCTGTACTCCGCAGTGTGCGCCCTGGGCAACCACCGTGTGGCGCATGCGCTGTGCAGCCACGTGGATGAGCCGCAGCTGCTCTACGCCATCCAGAGCAAGTACATGCCGGGCCTGCTGCGCACCGGCTACTACGACCTGCTTATAGACATTCACCTGAGCGCCTACGCCACCGCCCGGCTCATGATGAACAGCGAGTTCATCGTGCCCATGACCGAGGAGACCAAGAGCATCACGCTCTTCCCGGATGAGCACAAGGAGCACGGGCTCCCGGGCATCGGCCTCAGCACCTCGCTGCGGCCGCGCATGCGCTTCTCCTCCCCCAGCTTTGTGCGCGTCAATCACGACTGCTACCAGGACAGCCCCGAATTCCCGCTGGACACGCTCAAGGCCAAGACCATGCAGATGCTGAACGAGGCTGTGCGGGAGGGTGGCCTGCGCGCGCGGGACCCTGTCGGGGGCACCACCGAGTTCCTCTTTGTGCCACTCATCAAGCTCTTTTACACGCTGCTCATCATGGGCGTCTTCCATGGCGAGGACCTAAAGCACATCCTGCAGCTGATCGAGCCCCGGGTGTTCACCGAGGCCGTCCCGGAGGAGGAGCGCCAGGCGCCGCCCAGGGAGCCCCGCGCAGACGACGCCAGGCCCGAGGGCGCACGCGGGGATGCAGCGGAGGGGCTGCTGCAGATGAAGCTGCCGGAGCCGGTGAAGCTGCAGGTGAGCAGGGGGAAGGGACCCAGGTGGGCAGAGGGAGACGGGTTGGGACTCTCAGGATCCTGCAGGGCCAAGGCATTGACACTAGTCTGTGTGTGTGTGTGTTCCTGTAGAATGGTAGTTGTCCGTCAAGTTAACTAACGTCCTGTTGCGTTTTGGGACCTACCAATCTAATTTTCTTACATTGGAATGGAATTAATGAATTTCCCAATTGAGCCAATTGACAGTAGTTAGTCAAAGATAAATTTAGTATATTTGTCTAGGTGGTTTCCTTGGCCAAGTATAGGTCTGTCTGTCACACATGTCTGCAAGTGTGGCCTGTAGTCACTGTTTATCTCTGTGTTTATATGTACCTTTGTGTGTATGTGTAGTTGTGTGTATGTATGCATATGCATATTTATGTCTATGGGTGTATATCTGTGTATATGTGTGCATGTGTATATTTGCATGTGTGTGTAGTTGTGTGTATATGTATATTTGTATGTGTGTGCATGTCTATATTTGTGTGTAGTTATGTGTGTATGTGTGTATAGTATATTTGTGTGTATATATATATATTTGCACATGTGTATATTTGTGTGTGTTTGTCTATCTGAAAGGAGCGTAGGTGATAGGCTTCTGTCCTGCCAGCTCTTGTGCTCCCTCCAATGCATTAGCCATTTCCTGCATATCTCCTCTTGTGTCTGCACATGTATCTCCCCACATTCTGTTGGAATGTGTGAAATGCAGGCGTTCCACACCCTTTCCTACCCCTCCGCCCTCTCGCCAACCTTGGGACTTGCTCACCCATAGCAGCCCCCATCTCACAGATGTCACTTCCCCTTCCTGCCTGTGTTTCTGAGGAACTGAAGGCATGGCTGTCTTTGTGCTCAGAATGTCCGGGGACCCTTTCTTTAGCCATATTGGTCTGTTAGAGTCACTGGATATTTGCATCAATGGCACACTGCTCCACGTTCTGTTCCTCAGTCAGCTCTTCCTCGGAGCCTGGCACTTGGTGCTAGGGGAGGGAGCAGGTTGTGGGCGCTACCTTCGTGGAACTTAAGTCCCTGGGGAAACACACACTTATTGATGCATTTCTTTTAAAATGCCTCATTGCTACTTATGTTAAATGATCTGAATGAATAGAATAGATGACTAGAAGAAAGAAAATTTCAACTGGATTGCTTGGGAAAGGTGAGGGGAGGCCTCTCTAAGTTGAAGTCATTGATGAGCTGGCGTTTAGCAGGTTTTCTGGGAACTTTGCATATAGCACATGGTACCGCATGGCTCTGAAGCAGGAAAAGGCCAGGTGACGGCAGCTGAATGAGCTGAAGAGAGAGGGCGAGACAGGCAGAGGCCACATCACACAGAATCAAGCCCTTTGCTAAAACCAGCCTTGTGATGGATTTTGAGTTTTAGTCTAAGTTCAGTTCAAACCACTGAAGAATGTTAACAGGAGAATTTTATTCTAAAAATGTCAGTGTAGCTGCTGTGATGAAAACAGATAAAGAGGAAAGAAAGGGTGGTCCAGGGCCCACTGAGTTGGGAGACTGTCACATGGGCCCAGGCCCAAGGGGACTGTGCTTCCTCTAGGGTGGGGCGGAAGAGACAGAAGGATGGGGACAGACACTAGGGCTACTTCAGAGCTAGCATTGACAGAAATGGCCCTTTTGTGGCCCATGACATACAGGGTTTTAAAGTCCTTTCAAATACTGCCTTGTAGTCATATCACAATTGATAGTAAGTGTATTTAAATGTTTTCCTAAACTTGGACAAGGCATCCTCTGGTAGGCACTTTCCTTCCAAGCTTCTGTATCAGTTAAAAATCCTTTAGGCTTCTGGTAGGATAAGACTGAGCAGCCATTTAGTGAATAAGCAATAAAACTACTTGATTAACTTACATGCAGAGTCTGGAGGTAGACAGTCCTAAAATTGGTGTAGTAGCTCAATGATGTCATCAGGAACCCAGGCCTTAATATCCTTCTGTGACTCTTACTCTATGGTTTTCACCCTAAAAGGTGTGTGTTACCACATCTTCCTCCAGTGATCATGTCAGGACACAGTAAGGTTCATTTTGAGAAGAGGGTGTTCTAGTCTGTTATTGATGGAAAATTGTTCCCAGAAGACCTCTGGCAAACTTCTCCTTATATATGTCATTGGTCGTATAGCACCTAAAGCTACAGAGGAGGGCGGGACAGGGAGTGTCTCTCAGAGGGACATGCATTTGCCACTTTGGCTCAAGTTCTGTTGCATTCCCTGGGGCCTCCTGTGCAAAACCAGAATTCTGTTCTTATAGGAGAAGAGGTGGCCGCTAGACATCTCTGGATTTGAGATCCATCAACTGTTTAAAGATTCAGAAATTCAACTGGTGTCCCTTTAATTGTCCTTTTAGATGTGCCTGCTGCTTCAGTACCTCTGTGACTGCCAGGTCCGGCACCGGATAGAAGCCATCGTGGCCTTTTCAGATGACTTTGTAGCGAAGCTCCAAGACAATCAACGCTTCCGATACAACGAAGTTATGCAAGCCTTAAACATGTCAGCTGCACTCACAGCCAGGAAAACAAAGGAATTTAGGTCACCACCTCAAGAGCAGGTACACGAATGAGTTGAACATGATTCCTTTTTACTTTGTGTTTTAGCTGATTCAGGATCCACGCGTTGCAAAATTATATCATAAGTTACAAGTGTATTTTTTCCCGTTCTCTTTCAACTAGCCAAGTTAATGCTGTTGGTATTCTTAGTTTCTCCAAACAGTCTACTTGGTTAGTTTAAACAAATGAGAGACTTATTACATGGGATCAGGTGTATCATGGACTCTTTGAGGAAGCCAGTGTGCAAGATTCTGAGGTTATGCAAATAGAAGCAATATCCTACCACAGGTGGGTCTTCATGGCTGATATGGTTCCACCCCAGCTAACAGAAACCCTTTGTATTTGACACTTTCTATTTGATCCCTCCACAAAAGAACCAAATTTCACTGCTACCGTTTTTGCTGGAAGATTGATCACCTGTTTGTGGTTCTTCCTCTTGTCGTTCACCTCCAAACTGAGGTCCCCCTAGGTGTAGCAGACTCAAAGAATTGAGCGAGTCTGGAGTCTTCCTCAGGATGGAACTCACAGTGTGAGAAATTAGCTATGGTGGTCAAAGGTACAACTGATAAATCTTGTCTTCAATATCTTACCCTTACTATGTCCCTCTAGATTCAACATAACTCTAGATGAAAGTGTTTATGGGCTTACTGCAGAATTAATTTTTTCTCACCAGAATGTAATTTCTTTGAGGAAAGGGACATGGAATGTTGTTTATTGCTGTAAACATTTATTGAGCAGAGAGCAAGTCCATCTTCTCCCAGATTATCTCCATTTGTTAAACTGTTATTGGGAGACTTCTGCTTCTGGAAAGATGGAGGACATGTGCCTTTCCCTATTCTAAGTACAACCATAACCCTGGGAATTACACAAAAGACAGCATAAGAAGACTCTGGAAGATAGACAGGAGAAAGGAGGCTGGCTATAGAACTCGAGGCCTGAGGACAGACATGGTGGTGATTTCCCTGGGTTTTCTTTTTGCCTCCTCTGTCCCACACATGGAACTGAAGAAGCTGACCACCCAGAACGCCATCAAACAGAGACAAGAAAAGCCCCAGCGGAAGCCTTCTGTGTGCAGCCAAAGGACCAGGAAAACTGTCTGTCTCTCTAGCCGGACAGAAAACTTTTAGGTAATAACTGCACAACTCCAGCCAAACACCAAACTACAGAAAACACTGTACCCTGACCCCCATCCCAGCCAGCAACGCCGAGTGAGCAGCCCAGCCTTGCACTCCCACCAGCTGTAATGAGGCACTGCATCTGGGAGCTGGGACTTCACCCTGCTGAGTGGTAACGAGGCCTCCAAAGTGTCAGCAGAGGCCGTAGAGGGAGAAGTACCAGCCAGGACTGTGTGAGGACAGGTTAGCGGGGAAGTGGGTCTCTCAGCCTCGCCAGCAGGGAAAAGGCCTCCCCCCTCCGTCAAGCATCCAAGGCGGCCGAGTAGGACGATCGACTTGTACTCCAACCTGGCAGTAATGAATGTAACCAAGCTCTTGTCATACTAGACAGTATCAGACGAGGCTAATAGTTTACATAAGATCCAAAGTCTCATAACATAATACCAGAAATTTCCAGGTTTTCATTCAAAATAACTCATCACACCAAGAACCAGGAAAAACTTGAATGGAAAATATAATCAATAAATACCAACTTTGGGATGACAAAGATGTTAAAATTATCTGACAAAGCTTTTAAAGCAGCCATCATAAAACTGTTTCTAAATGAAAGGAAGGAAGTATCAGCAAAAAGGTAGAAGATATAAAGAGGAATCAAATGGAAATCTTAGAAGTGAAAAATACAATAAAATTTAAAAACTGCCAATGGATGGACTTAACAGCAAAATGGAGGTGACTGAGAAATGAACTATTGAACTTGAACTAAAGAAAGAACAATAGAAATCACCCAGCCCCCCCAAAACAGAAAATAAACTGAAAAAATATAAGAGTCTCACAGATTAGTATAAATATAACAAAAGATCTAACATTTGTGACCTGAGTGTTCCAGGGATAGGAGAAAAAGGGTGAACTGAAAAAATACTTGAAAAACTAATGGTTGAAAACTTTTGCAATTTGGCAAAAGATTAAAAAACAAATCAAAAGGCTAAGTAAATGCCAAACAGGATACCCAAAGAAATCTAGACCAAACTTCTGAAAACTGAAGACAAAGAAAAATACTTGAGAGTAGTGAGAAAGAAATGACACCTATAGGGGAAAAACAGGCTGAGTAACAGCAGATTTCTACTCAGAAAACATGGAGGCCAGAAAGAAGTAGCACAGCTTTCAAGTGCTTAAAGAAAAGAACTGTCAACCCTGAATTCTATATTCAGTGTAAATCTCCTTCGGAAATGAAGAGGAAATCAAGATATATTCAAATGAAGGAACACAATGATAATTTGGCTGCATTAGACCTACCCTGAAAGAATGTCTAAAGGATGTTCTTTTTAAACAGAAATGGTAAAATTTTGAAAATCGGGAGAAGAAAGAACAGCAGAAAGTGTTAAGACATGCGTAAATATAGTACATTTTCCTTTTCCCATTGATTCTCTCCATGAAAATCCATGTATAAGTGGATCCACTCAGTTCAAACTCATGTTGTTCAAGGGTCAACTGCATTTTCAGTCCATGGTTGGGAATCCACATATGTAGAGGGCTGACTTAAGTTATATGTAGGTTTTTGACTGCGAGGGGCGTCGGTGCCCTAACCCCCATGGTGTTAACTGGATAGGAAATATTTAAGATGATTATATTTTAAATGGAGAAGAATAAGGGATATAAAAAAGATAGGGCTTCTACACTTCACTCAAACTAGTAAAATGTTGATACTAGTAGATAGTGATATATTATGTACATATAACATAACGTCCAGAGCCACCACTAAAAAAGCTTTACAAAGAAATACACTAAAAAATACCATAATTCAAAATGGGATCCTAAAATTTGTTCATGGAACCCACAGCAAATTGGGAAGAAATAAATCAGAACAAACAATAAACAAGTAAAATAACAGACTTATGTCATAACATATCAACAAATTCATGAATACAAATTAAATATACAAGCTAAAAGAGTTTGGCAAAGTGGATTTTAAAAACTTCACCTAATTATATGCTATCTACAAGACACTCACTTCATATATAAACATGTAAGTTGGCTGAAAGTAAAAGGATGAAAAAAGATATATCATAAAAATTAATCAAGAGACAGTAAGAGTGTCTATATCAGAGCAAAGAAGACTACTGGACAGACGGGGCATTATGTATTAATAATGTATGCACTAAATAACAGCTGCAAAATACGTGACATCAACACAGATAGAACTGAGAGTAGAAATAGACAAATATAAAATTATAGTTGGAGACTTCAACACCCTTCTCACAATAATTGATGAAACTAGACAGAAAATCAGTAAGAATATGGGAGAATGGAATGCTATCACCGGCTAACAGGATTTTTGAATACTTGTGGACTACTCTACCCAACAACAGAATATACATTTTTTTCAAGTGCCCATGAAACACTCACAAAGATGGATTGTGTCCTGGGCCGTAAAACCACCTCAACAAATATAAAATAATTGGATTTTTTCTTGCAGATTTTTTTTTTTAACCACAGTGGAGTCAAATTAGAAATCAATAACAGAGCCATCCATGTTGTTGCAAATGGCAGTGTTTTCTTTTCTTATGGCAGAGTAGTATTGCATTGTGTATATAGACCACATCTTCTTTATCCAATCATCTATTGAAGGACACTTTGGTTATTTCCATGTCTTGGCCACTGTAAATAATGCTTCAATGAACACTGGAGTATATATATATCTTTATGGATAAATGTTTTCAAATTTTTGGGGTAGATATCCAGGAGAGGGACTCCTGGGTTATATGGTAATTCTATTCTTAATTTTTTGAGGAACTGTTTTCCCTAGTGGTTGTACCAATTTACATTCCCAGCAACAGTGTTTGAGGGTTCCTTTTCCTCCACAGCGACACAGACAGCAATTTACTGGTTACCAGATGGTAAGGGGAGAGCGGGGAGGAGAGATGGTAGCTGAGGGTTAAGAGGGTCAAATATATGGTGATGGAAGGAGAACTGACTCTGGGTGGTGAACACATAATGCAATATATAGATGATGTATTATAGAATTGTACACTTGAAACCTATGTAGTTTTGTTGATCATTGTCACCTTAATACATTTTAATTAAAAAAAAGAAAGCCTAACCAAAAAAGAAAGAAAAGAAAAGAACAGAAAGATAACAGGAAAATCTCCAAAACCTTGGAAACTAAACAACACACTTCTAAATAATCCATGGCTCAATGTGGAAGTCTCAAAGGAAATTTAAAAATACATTGAAATGAGAGAAAATTTGTGGTAATGGCTATAGCAATGCTGAGAGGGAAATACTTACATTTAAAAAGAGAAAAATACATCAGTCATCTTAAGCTGCCATCACAAGAATTTAGAAAAAGAAGAGCAAAATAAACCCAAAGCAACCAGCAGGAAGGTGATAATAGAGATAAAAGCAGATAAAAGTCATTAAACTGAAAACAGGACAATTGAAAACAATCAGTGACTCTCGAAGCTGGTTATTGTAAAATGTTATTAAAATTGACAAAACTCTAAAAAAGACTGACAATGGAAAAAAGAGAGACGACACAAATTATCAATATCAGGAATGAAATGAGCTATCACTACAGACCCTGCAGACATCCAGAGGCTCAAATGGGAATGCATATATGTATACTGTATGATACCATTTATATAGCATTCTTCATATAACAATAGTACAGAAATGGAGAACAGATTAGTAGTTGACAGGAATTAGGGATGAGGAGCAGTCAGGAGGGAAGTGGGTGTGGATATAAACAGGTAGCAGGAGGGATCCTTGAGATGATGGAGTTGTTCTCTATTTTGACTGTATCAGTGTTGATTTTTTGGTTGTGATACTGTACTACCGTTTTGCAAGATGTTACCATTAAGGGAAACTGAGCTAAGAGTACATGGGATCTCTCTGTTTTATTTCTTACTATAGCATATGAATCCACAATGATCTCAAAATAAAAGTTTTAAAAAAATTCATATAAAAAAACTCTAAAAAGAAAACTTACAATTGTTGCCTAAAGGAAAATTATGGAGTAGCAATAGACCTTTCTTTTCTTCATTCATAAATGTAATATTATTGTGTCTAAAATGAAAATAAATGGAAGAAAGTTTCTTGCTATTTATTTAACTGAACTCTTAACAAAAGCATAGTTGTCCATTATATTAAATTTTTCCTTTTTTACTGGTGTATCCTTCTCAAAAAATAGTTCTTTAAAATATTCAGTAAAGTGTAGAAATTAGATAGAAAATGAAAATCTAGGAGAAGCATAATAAGTATTTTTAATAACATTTAGATCTTAGTTGATTTAAGAACTCTAAGCATACACAGGTCTAACATGTATCGTTGAGAAAGAAAGCAACTTGCAAGACTGTTTTGCAGAATGTTAAGCTTTGAATGATTTGATTTACTTTGTGGTTATTTATTGGACCCAGTGATAGGTAATACTTTTTCATCTGTTGGGCAACAATGTATGAGTACTCAGAAACAGGTTTTGAACGTCTTTGGTTTTCACAATCTTTGCTGTGTCTTTCCTGAATCCACTTTTCTCTCATTCTTGTTCTTCCTCTTTCTTTGTTGTTCCAAACTTTCAGATCAATATGCTCCTCAATTTCAAGGATGACAAAAGCGAATGTCCATGTCCTGAAGAAATCCGAGACCAACTCTTGGATTTTCATGAAGACCTGATGGCACATTGTGGTAAGGTCTTCTTGACTTACAGCCCTTCTTACATGTATAAATACTTGTACAAAAGTAAGTGTGTATACATGTCATAGGTTCACCAGTATGCATGACGCCTGTTAGGAGGTCACCTAAGAATAATGGTTAACTGATTCTGTGTGTGGAGTCAGGAAGGGTAGAGTTATCAGAAAGGCAGGCAGAGCAAAAGATGGCTGAAATTCTCCATCTTTTCCCTCTTTCCCTCAGTGGCAGTGCATGGGCAGAGAGAATGAGGAATTGTAACCAGGTGCTTTGGGCAGAGAAGTGAGTGTTAGGTTGATGTTCTCTAAAGAAATTTGATCACAGACAGTTATATTTAAACTCACTGCAGGGTCACTTTTTAGGACTGGCATAGGAAATCCAGCATATATCTTTTGGAATTAATTAATGTCAAAGGAAATCCTGCATGAAATTATTTGTCAGTCGCCCAAATCTATTAAGGGAATTCTCCCTTCCTTTTATTCAAAGAATGTTTAAAATGGAACTGATTAGATGTTCTAAAGGGTTACTTCCTTCTGTCTTTATGAAATAGTATGGATAAAGTCTGTGTTCCAGGGAAAGAAAATAAAATAGCCATTTTTAAAGTGATAGGTATAGCATGAGTGGTATGACTTTTATTTTAATAAAGAGAATAAAAGGACCATCTTGAATAGTTTATGAATGAAGGACCACTAAATGACTGCCAGAAAGTTGTCATATATATATATATATATATATATATATATATATA